AGTGTAACAATCTCTGTCGCACTTTGGAATTAGATATGGGACCTTCTGTGTTGGAGCAGAACAATCCAACCTGAACTGAACACGGGGAGAAAGAACTGGAGGTTGGGGAAGTAAAAAGGAGGGAACAATTGTGAAATGGATGATAGCAAGGTAAAGTTTAAAAAGACAAGCATGTGAATGTGAAGGGAAAAAGCATCCATTCCCCCAGAGAGAAGGAGACAGAATAAAAAACCGAGCTAGGATGAGGAACAGGTAGCCTCTGGAGCATTCGTCATCTCTCTTTTAGAGGCTCTAGGCAGGCAAACCATATCCATCTTTACTGAACAAGAGTGAGGAAACGATAACATTTATATCTTCTTTTCCTCCATATCTATGTTGTTTTAAGGATCATTTTTATCCACATAGAATCATAGAGTTGGGTGTGAGAGAGAGAGGTAGGAAGAAGAAGAGAGAGAGGCAGGGAGACCTCATGGGCCATCTAGTCCAACCCCTGCCAAGAAGCAGGAAAATCGCATTAACTTCTTATCCCACTTCTTTAGAGGCCTTATCAATCACTCTGAGCAATGATTGTTTCTGTTCTTCTTCACAGTAGATAACGGGGAGGAGAGCAATGTACACTGCGAACACAGGAAGCATTTGGGACACAACAAGGGCCAGCAAGCCCAGAGTGAAGATGAAGATTCTGCCGGAGAAAAGCCCTACCAATGCAATGTATATGGGCAATGTTTTGCCCAAGATGTGGCACTTGTGCTTCACAAGACACTCCATCCTGGGGAGAGCCATCTCAAATGGAAAGTATCAGCAGAATATGTGGTTGGTTACAGATTGCCAGATCTGTGCCAACAAGAAATCTTTGAAAGAACCGAGGATTTCATAATCCAGGAGTGTGAGAAACCACACAAAAGCAAGGAATGTGGGAAATGTTTTGTTCAGAGTTCATCCCTTGTGAGTCACCAGGAAGTCCACACTGGAGAACACCCATATAGATGCCCAGATTGTGGGAAATGTTTTTCTTCCAGTTCAAGCTTGGTGAGGCACAAAAGAGTCCACACAGGAGAAAAACCATATCAATGCCAGGAGTGTGGAAAATGTTTTGCTGCCAGTTCAGACTTGGTGAGCCATAAAAGGCTTCACACAGGAGAAAAACCATATCAATGCCAGGAGTGTGGGAAATGTTTTGCTGACAGGTCAGCCTTGGCAAAGCACAAAAGACTCCACACAGGAGAGAAGCCATACCAATGCCAAGAGTGTGGGAAGTGTTTTGTTTACAGTTCACAATTGCTGAGCCATATAAGACTCCACACAGGGGAGAAGCCTTTCCAGTGCCAGGAATGTGGGAAATGTTTTGTTTACAATTCACAATTGGTGAGGCACAAAAGATTCCACACTGGAGAGAAGCCATACCAATGCCAGGAGTGTGGGAAATTTTTTCTTGACAGTTCAGCCTTGATGAGCCACAAAAGACTCCACACAGGAGAGAATCCATACCAATGCCAGGAGTGTGGGAAATGTTTTGCTTCCAGTTCATGCTTGGTTAGGCACAAAAGACTTCACACAGGAGAGAAGCCATACCAATGCCAGGAGTGTGGGAGATGCTTTGCTTCCAGTTCTGGCTTGGTGAAGCACAAAAGACTCCACACAGGCGAGAAACCATACGAATGCCAGGAGTGTGGGAAATGTTTTGCTGATGGTTCAGCCTTAGTGAGGCACAAAAGACTCCACACAGGAGAGAAGCCATACCAATGCCAGGAATGTGGGAAAAGTTATCCTTGCAAATCATCTCTCCTGAGACACCAGAGCATCCACACAGGAGAGAAGCCGTTCCAATGCCAGGAGTGTGGGAAATGTTTTACCCAGAGTTCATCCCTTTTGAGCCACCAGAGAATTCATAGAGGAGAATAACCATCCAAAGAGGTGGGACAAAAGTAATAAAATTACTTGCAATAGGGACATTTCAGGTGGTGGACATTCTAGTGCTGTAGACTATACATTCAACATTTCTCGATGCACGTTTGTGACTTCCTTGGCTTCAAGTAGCACTTGGCTTGACTTTGGACTGATTTCTTAGATAACTCTCTCCTTGGTTTCAAATGGTGTTCAAGGTTTTTGTTTTTTGTTTTGCTTTGTTTGACTTGGATCTGTTGTGGAGAACTCTTTTGCTTCTCTGGACACTGGTATCACCATGGGAATATACTGGCTTTCCCCTGGTCAGCCTTTATGGGTAAACATCTGATTTCAAACAGGACCATTTGCGAAGGTGTCCTAAGATTTGGTGAAGCCTCCGTTCTTGTCATTTGAATCCTAAATTGAGGTCCTGTTCTTGGAGCAGCAGTAAGCAACCTCTCTGTTACAATTCTTCAGAAGGTTAAATATGATGTCACCTATACTGAAAAAGAAAACCCATATGTAATTCCATCAATTCTTCCTCTTGGGCTTTTTTCCCAGCTCCTTTAGCACCTTGGTTGCAAATTTCTCATTTGCAAATGTTGTTTTTCAACTGCGATTCCAGAATTGAACACAGTGCTTCTGTTGAGGCAAAACGAAAGGAAATGATGCTTGCGCTATTATTTCCCTTGATGTACAAATCATATCTCTGGCTACTGTCCATTTTCTTGCTCCTGGCACAGACTCATTTAATGCACAATAAATTAAAAAAATCAATCTCTTTATTATAGAATTAACCATGTTATATATCACTGATTTCGTTATAAACTATCAGAATTCGCTCTATTTTGCAAAATTTTAGTCCCTGGGTCTTATACATGAAGAAAATAAGTTTGTTTGTGTGAAGCAGGCATGGGCAAACTTTGGCCCTCCATGTGTTTTTGCACTTCAACTCACACAATTCCTAACAGTCAGTAAGCTAGCTGGGATTTTATTTATTTATTTATTTATTTATTTATTTATTTATTTGCTGTATTTGTATACCGCCTTTCTCAGCCTTTTGGCAACTCAAGGTGGTTTACAGGCAACAAGTAATATACATAATATCAAAATGCACATAAAAACATTAAATACTATATAAAATCACAACAGAAATAATAAGCAAATAGCCAGGAGACATGTGTTTTTAAAGTCTCTTCCTCAGTCCCCTTTTTCCTCTTAGCTGGCTTGAGGTTGGGAGGGGGATAAGCAGCAAGATTTCCTCCTTCTGAGGTGGCAGTCAGATGTAGTAAGCAACAGCCAGGAGACAGATGTTTTTAAAGTTTCTTCCTCAGTCCCCTTCCTCTTAGCTGGCTTGGGAGGGGGAGAATAGCAGCAGGATTTCCTCCTTCTCATCCTGAGGTGGCAGTCAGATGTAGTAAGCAACAGCCAGGAGACAGATGTTTTTAAAGTCTCTTCCTCAGTCCCCTTCCTCTTAGCTGGCTTGGGAGGGGGAGAATAGCAGCAGGATTTCCTCCTTCTCATCCTGAGGTGGCAGTCAGATGTAGTAAGCAACAGGCAGGAGACAGATGTTTTTAAAGTCTCTTCCTCAGTCCCCTTCCTCTTAGCTGGCTTGGGAGGGGGAGAGTAGCAGCAGGATTTCCTCCTTCTCATCCTGAGGTCACCTAGGATAGGTAGATGATATCTTGTGCCAGTATTGGCCATGGGATTTTGACACAATGGAAGGAGACTGAAGTGACCAAACATCTTTTGTGATAAATAATTAAATGTCCTAGGGATCCATCCTCTAGATGGGCAAGCCTTTGGCTTCTCCGAGGTCTGAGGAAGTGGAGACATTGGTTTATTAGTCACGCAAAGTGTCCTTGGTGAGTCCTTTTGTTTAGGGATTAGCTTGGCCCAGGAGAGGAGATTTCCTGGGGCCCATGAGTTGCTGGGTTCATGAAGAGGTGACATTTCATATTTCATATAGGGATATGGGAAGAGGGGAAGGTATACAAGGGAATCATAGGGGATACATTCATATAGAGGGGAAAAGAAATATCAGCCCGTCCCACTCACCAGAGTCCATTGATAGTTCATAAATCATAGCGAGAGTCCATGGAGTTTGAGGAAAAAAGTTTTCAAAAAGTTCAAAAGTTTTCCAAAAGTGTCCAAGAGTCCAAAGAGTTCATGAGATTAAGGGGAAATGGTTCTGTAAATCCATTGGATTCACACTGGGACCATTGCGGGTGCTGAGGATCGGGGTCCATTCATTTGGGAGAAGAAAACAATAAATCCCATCTCATCAAAGGGCCAGGATGACCTGTCTGCTATAAATATATGGAATATAGGGCATAAAACCTTGATTAAATGTTTGTTGTTGTTCATTAATTCAGTCTCCGACTCTTCGTGACCTCATGGACCAGCCCACGCCAGAGCTCCCTGTCGGCCGTCACCACCCCCAGCTCCTTCAAGGTCAGTCCAGTCCAGTCCTTGGTCGGCCCCTCTTCCTTTTGCCTTCCACTTTCCCCAGCATAATTGTCTTCTCTAGGCTTTGCTGTCTCCTCATGATGTGGCCAAAGGACTTCAACTTTGTCTCTAGTCTCCTTCCCTCCATGAGCAGTCGGGCTTTATTTCCTGGAGGATGGACTGGTTGGATCTTCTCGCAGTCCAAGGCACTCTCAGAACTTTCCTCCAACACCACAGCTCAAAAGCATCGATCTTCCTTCGCTCAGCCTTCCCTAAGGTCCAGCTCTCACATCCGTAGGTTGACTACAGGGAATACCATGGCTTTGACTAGGCAGATCTTTGTTGCCAGTCTGATGTCTCTACTCTTTACTATTTTATCGAGACTGGACATTGCTCTCCTCCCAAGAAGGAAGCGTCTTCTGATTTCCTGGCCACAGTCTGCATCTGCAGTAATCTTTGCGCCTAGAAATACAAAGTCTGTCACGGCCTCCACATTTTCTCCCTCTATTTCCCAGTTGTCAATCATTCTTGTTGCCATAATCTTGGTTTTTTTTATGTTTAGCTGCAACCCAGCTTTTGCGCTTTCTTCTTTCACCTTGATTAGAAGGCTCCTCAGCTCCTCCTCGCTTTCGGCCATCAGAGTGGTGTCTTCTGCATATCTGAGGTTGTTATCGCTTTCGGCCATCAGAGGGGGGTCATCTGCATATCTGAGGTTGTTAATGTTTCTTCCAGCAATTTTCACCCCAGCTTTGCATTCATCAAGCCCTGCACATCCTCGCATGATGTGTTCTGTTAAAAAGGTTGGGTGAGAGAATGCAGCCTTGCCGTACGCCTTTCCCAATCTTGAACAAGTCTGTTGTTCCGTGGTCAGTTCTGACTGTTGCTACTTGGTCCTTGTACAGATTCCTCAGGAGAGAGGGAAGGGGGCTTGGGATGCCCATCCCATCAAGAACTTGCCACAATTTATTATGATCCACACTATCTAACACGGGAAGGGTCCTTGTTGTTGTTGTTAGTGTCTTTGCAAATTGACCAAGACTTAACCCTTGTTATCCAGCCTGATGTCCTTGTCCTTAGCAAAACTATAAGTTCCCTGATTTTGAATTATTTTTTACAGAGTCCTAGAAAAAAAAGGGGGGGGGGTCTCCTCCAATATTATCTATCCATCATCTTTAGTCTTTTGGTTGCAGGGCTTTGGAGAGTTACTCTTTCCCCCTCCTTCCAGTGTAACACTGGGCAAGGAAGGGTTAAGGGGAGGGAGTGTGGTTCCCAGAGAGGCAGGAAGGAAGTGGGCCTTTCCTGTCCCTCTAGGAACCATACTCCCTCCCCTTCACCCTTCATTGCCCGGCTTCCTCCTAATTGTCCTTGCAGCCTGTCTCTTCTCCTCCTCCTCCTCCTTCTGGTGAGTCTTCTTCCCAGACCTTCTCCAAAGGGCGGAAGAGAGACTGAAACCCAAAACACCTGGAGGGAGAGCCTGAGTTGGCTCAGGCCATACTAACATGGGATTGGAGGTCATCAGATTCTCCAACTGGGGGATCCTTGGGAGGAGAGAGAAGCAGGCAGAAGGAGGCCAAGGGCTTTCCCCTGCCAACCCACTCACCTGCCTGCCTGGGTCCTCTTTTTTCGCCTTTAATTTTTAATTAAGCATTTCAAAGAAAAAAGATGTTTTCCACACAAAGAAAAAAGGAGAACCAAGAAGGGGAGGAAGGTTGCATAGCCCTGATTAGTAGATTAGGATTGTATACATGTCTATTGTGTCACCGAGGAAGGGGATGGAGCAGGGAAGAGAAGCCTTGTATTTAGTACAGTTATTACATCTATATCTTTAACCCAAGCAATATTATGATACATATTATCTAAAGTTTTGGAAGTGCCAAATGTCCTCTACAACAGGAAAGAATGCATTCTCGTCTTTAGTATTTGGTTCCATTGATTCCCCGATTCTTGTCTACCCCTCTTGCTCTTCCTCTCTCCTCTTGCAGAGCAGACCCATGTGTATATATCTCCTCAACTTGGAAGGCGCTGAACAGACTGCGCTCTGGCACCACGAGATGCAGAGCCAATCTTAAGAAATGGGGCTACAGGGTGGAATCCTCGGCATGCGAGTGCGGAGAAGAACAAACCACTGACCACCTGCTGCAATGCACCCTGAGCCCTGCCACATGCACAATGGAGGACCTTCTTGCGGCAACACCAGAGGCACTCCAAATGGTCAGATACTGGTCAAAGGACATTTAACCAGCTACCAAATTTGCAAAATCTGTGTTTTTTTTTCTTTTTCTTTTTAATCTGTGTGTTTGTTTTGCTCTGTTAGAATTGTAATACAATGGTATGGTTGCTGATGACACGATAAATAAAATCCTCTGCAAGACCACCTGGGATCCAATTTGCTTCCTCATCTAACGGTGGTTCCAACATGGAGAGACCCAACTCACCTGGACTTAAAGCAGGACTTGGGAGCAGTGGGAAATTCTGGGAAAGAACTACACAGGCGTTCCTGAATATGCACATACAGCGCCAGCGCTTCAGGCATTCCTCCTTCCGAGAGGGCGAGGGACCCAGAGAGGTTTGCAGCCGCCTCCACTCTCTCTGCTGCCAGTGGCTGAAGCCAGAGCAACACACCAAGGCGGAGATGCTGGACCTGGTGATCCTGGAGCAGTTCCTGAGCATCCTGCCCCCAGAGATGGGGAGCTGGGTCCGAGAGTGTGGGGCAGAGACCTCTTCCCAGGCGGTGGCCCTGGCGGAAGGCTTCCTCCTGAGTCGGGCAGAGGACGAGAAGCAGGAAGGACAGGTGAGAGCATTGCCTCTTGGTGTCACTCCTTGGGACTGGTGGAGAGATTAAACGTACGTCCTGCCTTCCTTCCAAGTTCAGACCAATGTGAGGGAGAAGCCGGACTCTACTCCCTTGGCCTCTTTTCCCACCTGCCCCTTCTGCTGTCTGTCACCTCCATATCCATTGTAAGCTCTGTTGCTCCTGCACTCAAATATGTTGACCCCAGATATTACATTGAATGTGATGAAGGGAAAATATGGCCACTCTCAGAATACAGTTTCTGCACATTTGGGGGAAAATTCTTTCTTACCTTTATCTATACTACTTATGGAATTATCTGTGCTCTTCTAGGCCCAAAATAACTGCATTGAAGTCCTCCCTGATGTCCCTGAATCAGAGAAACCTCCATCAGACACCACTCAGAGCCTCCAGCAGAAGAAGCTCAAGCAGGAAGAAGATGGGACTACAGCCTTGGAAGGTAAGAAGGAACGCTTCTGGAAGTTTTAGTGTTTTATGTAATTTCCCCTTCGGGGGATTGTAGCACATCCACAATCGGTTTGAGCTAGAGAAGGATGCTTTGGCCTTGAGATGCATATATAGGTAGGCAATTGGTGGCAAAAGGTGTAATTTTAGTGTGATTTGAATACATGCAGCATACTGTTGGGTGGGACTGAAATATCAGCCATACAGTATGTTCTCAGGTGAAAGCCGAAGCTGAAATGAGCCCTGGAAACTGAACTGGAAGGCAAACAGACAACAAAGAATAACTTTAGTCAATTGGATTACCAAACCCAGTACTAGTTTCAATCCAGCCTATTCACAGCTTTGAATGAGTATCATGACCTTATTTCTTGGTTGTGTGAAGCCAGGAAATTAAGCCATGCCTTAGACCTGTCCTGTGTATATTTGAAATCTGGGAGAGGGATGTCATGGAAACGGGAGAAATGCAGGGGAAGAGGGCCAGGGTGAGGGAAATAAACTGTCAGTTGGAACTTTGTTGCTTTCCCTAATGCATGCTTTTGAATTAAAGCCTTCCAACTTTGTGAGGTAATTTCTTCTGAGAAACAACAAAAGAGAAAGAAAAAAAGTCCTAAACTCCAAATCTTTACACATTCCTGAGCTGGCAAATCAATCCAACCTACTCACAGCACTGAGATAAAAAGTCCTAAACTCCAAAATGTTACATATTCCTGGCTGGAGAATGCTCCTGTGTTCATAGAGTCATTTCCTCATAGGTTTCTTTTACTACTGTAATCGTAACCTCTGAGACATGTTCATGTGTTCAGCTTTCCACACCTTACTCTCTCTCTCTCTCAGGGGCTGGAATGATGTTGTTGCCGAATCCACACTCATTTCTTCCACTTTGTGATGGAGTGGAGCTGAATCAGGTAAGCAGAAAGATTCCTGGGAGAGGAAGAATGGAACTGCCTGGCTGTCATTGGTTCCAGGCTTAATCATTGAACATCTCTTGAAACAGACAAGATTGAAAGAGGTTTTCTTAAATGTGAAATACTGAAGCCACAATTGCCTAAATGTAAAGAAAGCAGAATGGATTCAACTGAGCTAAGATTTAAAAGGGACATGTACAAGAAAGGGAAAAGGGGGGAAATCACCAAGGAATTCAAACAGCTAACCAGCATAAGTAGGTGAACGGTCTGACAAGCTAAAGCAGAAAATGAGCTCAGGCTTCCCAGATAGATTAAAAACAATGAAAAGCAGTTCTTTGGTTGTGTCAGTAGAAGAAGGACATACGAAGAAATGATAGGGTCTCTGCCTGGAGAAGGTGGTGAAATGCTAACAGAAGATAGGGAAAAGGTAGAACGCTGTCTCAGTCTTCTCCCAAAAGGGAATTAGTATTCTACTTGAGCAAGATGAACCAGATGGAGGAAATAGGGGAAATGCAACCCGAAATAGGTAAAGAAGTAGCCCAGGAATACCTGGCCACTCTAAATGAATTCATGTCTCCAGGGCCACATGAACGACATCCAAGAGTCCTGAAGGAACCACTGGCAATAATCTTTGAGAATTCTTGGAGAATGAGAGAAATCCGAGCAGACTGAAGGAGGCAAATGTTGTTGCTATCTTCAAGAATGGACAAAGGAGGCTCATCAGTGGTTCATCTCCTGGAAAGAAGTGACTAGCGGGGTTGCTGCAGGGATTTGTTGTGGGCTAAAAGCTGTTCCACACCTTTCTTATTGACCTGGATGAAGGTTTACAGGGCAGGCTTATCATATTTGCAGATGACACCAAATTAGCAGAGATAGCTAATACTCCAGAAGAAAGGATCAGAATTCAAAATGGCATTAACATGTTAAAGAGCTGAGTGTAAACAAAAATTAGTTTCAACATGGAGAAATGTATGATAGTACACAGAGGCAGTGTTAGAGTGTTAACAGACCACAATTGGAACATGAGCCAACCGTTTGATGCACCACCTTAAAAGCCTATGGGATTTTGGGTTACAGCCAAAGGAATATAGTGTCTAGATTAAGGGAAGTCATGGCCACCTTTCTGCTTTGGTGAGACCTCACCTGAAGTAACAGTTTAGGGCCCCACAATGAAAACTGGAACATGTCCAGATTCCATTTCTGAGTCTACATATCAATTAAGAAAAGGTTTTGACTGTACTTACTTAGGCGACCCCTCGTTGTCCGAGTAGGATAGTCTTCCAAGATCAGTGTACTGGTGGGTCCAAAGGTGACTGTGGAGCCCTATTCTTGACCTGCATGTTCTCCCGCAGTGAGGGCATCAGTTTCCAGGTGGAAGGCGGTCCCAGTCAAGGTTGGCTTGACGCCTTCCTCTTGGCATGTTTCTCTCTTTCGCCCTCCATTCGTGCCTCTTCAAATTCTACAGCACTGCTGGTCACAGCTGACCTCCAGCTGGAGCACTCAAGGGCCGGGGCTTCCCAGTTCTCAGTGTCTATGCCAGAGTTTTTAAGGTTGGCTTTGAGCCCATCTTTAAATCTCTTTTCCTGTCCTCCAACATTCCGTTTTCCGTCTTGAGTTCAGAGTAGAGCAACTGCTTTGGGAGACGGTGGTCAGGCATCCGGACAACGTGGCCGGTCCAGCGGAGTTGATGGCAGAGGATCATCGTCCGCTTGTTTACCCAAGAGATTTGCAGGATTTTCCTGAGGCAACACTGATGGAATCGTTCCAGGAGTTGCATGTGATGTCTGTAGATAGTCCACGTTTCGCAGGCATATAGCAGGGGTGGGAGGACAATAGCTTTATAAACAAGCACCTTGGTATCCCTACGGATGTCCCAGTCCTCAAACACTCTCCGCTTCATTCAGAAAAATGACTGTAACTAACTGGAGGTCTCTACAAACCTTAAAGTATGGCATGGAGGCCTTAGCCCTTTCCCTTTCAAACAACCAACAGGAATGTAAATCTACTTTAAAGATTTTCTGGTAAGTATTTTTCTTGAAGTCCCTGATGTGAGAAGGAAATGTGTTCTTTTTCCACCAGGGCCCAATCGCCTTTGAGGACGTGGCTGTCCATTTCTCTTTGGAGGAGTGGGCTCTCCTGAATCCTGGTCAGAAAGCCTTGCACGTGCAGATCATGGAGGAGATTCATGGGATGGTGGACTCTCTTGGTAAGGCTCCCTCACTCGTGGGGATTTCTATTTCAAAATGCAGGATCCCAATCAGCGGCTCCCTCGTGGGAGCAGTATCCAAAATCGTCTCAACCTCTGAGAGTTCTCAAGGCAAGGCTTATGTTAGAAATATATGACATAAGTGTAACATTGACTTGATGCCTGAGTAACAGTGATGTTGGCACCAGTTCAGACTCCAATGGGAAGACTTTAATAGTCAAGTCCAAGCGTACTACACCCCCTTGCAGCACCAGGGCCCCCTGGAAAGCCTATGAAGAGTCATCACCCCAGATTAGTCACACTACACACTCTCTCTCTCTCTGTGAGTGTGTGTGAGAAAGAAAGGCAGGGAGAGGGAGGAAGCAGATTGGTTGGAGAGAGTGGCCAGAGAAAGGATCATCAAAAAGAACAAACTTCCCTGGCTTCAGATATGCAGATGCGACTGTACATCGGTGTGGTATTCAACATAAGTTTTTCCTCCCAACCAGGCAGGGCAGCCTTTGCATGTCTGACAGCTAAGCTCTTTTCTACGCTACTTCTCCCAGCACACAAACAGCCCCTAGCCTCAATCATTCGCAAGATGGTGACTTGTAATATAATGTGTTCTATGTTCTGTGCTTGAGAATGCTTGGGGACCGGGGTTTTTTGTGCACTGGGAGAGGCATATCGCAGCAATCAAACTCTATGCCCCTATCTTTCAAATGGTAGAAAATGGCTGTAAGACTGTAGGTTTTTGTAGCAAATAATCACTCACAAGCCAGTATGGAAATGAATATAATTTGCTTGTTTCTCCACAGCAAAGAAAGACACTACTGACTTTTCCCCACCACCACTTCCTTTTATACACCCTTCCTGCCCACCTCCCCCCTCCTCTCAGTTTCCCCATTAGAGCTTGTTGCCTCACATGTTGCCTCAAATGTCAAAGAAAGAAAACTGAGGCAGCCAGGATGATCCAGCCAGGATGTCATGCAGGAAATTTATGATGTCTCCACGCCGTCAGAAATTGACTCCTGACAATGGCTCCGGCTCACCTTATCTATCTGAACATATCTCTCCCTATGAACCTTCTAGGAATTTGAGGCCCTGCTCTCGATCCCACCTGTCTCACAGGTGTGTTTGGCGGGGACAAGAGACAGGGCCTTCTTAGTGGTGGCCCCTCGGCTGTGGAACTCCCTTCCCAGGGATAGTATATCGGTCCCCCTTTCTCCTAACCTTTCGAAAACTAATGAAAACCTGGCTCTTTGAGCAAGCGTTTGGAGCTGCAGCGTGACCAGTTAACACAAAGTTGTAATATGAACATGGAACGGCTAAGACTATGTAAACCAATGAGGAATTTGGGGTTTTTATATTTTTATATTTTTATTTATTTTTTTATTTTATTTACGGCATTTATATGCCGCCCTTCTCACCCCAAAGGGGACTCAGAGTGGCTTACAAGATATATTTTCATACAATACATTATATTATTAGTAAAGTACAATATAGTATTATAAATTACTATATTGCGCTATACCATTATATTGTAATATTATTAGTAATATTACATGTAATGTAAATATATAAATATAATTTTATAGTTTTATAGTTTTTTATGGATTTTATATGTATTTATGATGTGTTTTAATTGTTTTATTGAAATATGTATTTATATATGGCATCTAATTGTTGCCGGTCTGTACTCCGCCCTGAGTCGCCTTCAGGCTGAAATGGGCGGGATAGAAATGTCATAAATAAATAAATAAATAAATAAATAAATAAATAAATAATTTGCCACTATATCTGGCTGAGTCCTGCAGACCTTCTTCATTTTTTCCCTTCTCGGCCTTCATCGTTGTTTTCCTCTTTTTCTCCACAGTCACTATCTTGCATATTCCCAACTTTGTCAGGCAAATCTATCCCTTTGGAACTCACATTTACAGCAAAGTTCAAAAACTGTCAGAGTCCCATTCAGTAGTTGAAGGTAAAAGTGGAACTATCTCTGCAGCGCTCGGAAATTGGATACGGAACCTTCTATGTTGGAACAGAACAATCCAACCTTAACTGCATTGATTGAGGATTGTCCACTGAGTGGTATCTAAGTAATTGTGGTCTTCCCAAGATGTTGTGTTTCCTGATAGGTGTTAGTGGTGTAAGAATTCGGAATCTATTGGGTAACTCCAGCTGGCTAGTCCTGTGCCTCTTTCTGTGGGTGACATTCTTCCAAGCCTGAGGGTTGTCTACAATTGAAGTGATCTCGCCATAAGGTTCCCTATCATGTTTGGGTTCGTGTGGGTTGCATATCTAGAATGGCAAGCTGTGTGTCGTCGAAAAAGAACTCAAATCCCTGAATGTCCTTAAGGATCTTGATTTGGTCCTCGAGTAATTGAATCCTCTGTTCCATGAGAGTAATCTGTTTGCACTTGGTGCAGATGTAGTTAGAATCACAGAATCATAGAGTTGGAAGAGACCTCATGTGCCATCCAGTCCAACCCCCTGCCAAGAAGCAGGAAAATTGCACTCAAAGCACCCCTGACAGATGGCCATCCAGCCTCTGTTTAAAAGCCTCCACACACTCTGGGACAGAGAGTTCCACTGCTGAACAGCTCTCACAGTCAGGAAGTTCTTCCTAATGTTCAGATGGAATCTCCTTTCTTGTAGTTTAGCTTCCGAGCACAATTCAAAGTGCTGGTGTTGACCTATAAATCCCTAAATGACTCCGGCCCAGTTTACCTGTCGGATTCTCCCCTATGAACCATCAAGGTTGTTAATATCTTCTGGAGGGGCCCTGCTCTCGGTCCCACCACCCTCGCAATCGCGTCTGGTGGGGACGAGGGACAGGGCCTTCTCGGTGGTGGCCCCTCGGCTCTGGAACTCTCTCCCATTGGAGATTAGAACTGCCCCTTCTCTCCTGAAAGCTGGTGAAAACTTGGCTCTGGAATTTGGCATTTGATGAGTGAGTCAATAACTCTTGACCACACGGACGGATGGTGATGAATTGTGATTTCATTCTGACGACTTGGCCTTATGTAATTATATGATTGTATTTTAATGTGTTTTTATATTAGTGTATTATGGGATGTGATGTTTTACACTATTGTGTATGAATCCTCTGTTGTGAACCGGCCTGAGTCCCTCGTTGGAGGTGAGAAGACCGGTATATAAAAGTTCTAAATAAATACATAAATAGTTTGAGGTCATTGCTCCATTGCGTCCTAGTCTCCAGGGAAGCAGAAAACAAGCTTGCTCACTCCTCCCTATGACTTCCTCTCACATATTTATACATGGCTCTCATCATGTCTCCTGTCAGCCTTCTCTTCTTCAGGCTAAACATGCCCAGCTCTTTAAGCTGCTCTTCATAGGGCTTGCTCTCCAGACCCCTGATCATTTTAGTCTCCCTCCTCTGGACACATTCCAGCTTGTCAATAGTTGATGAGTTGTTCTGTGAAAAAACTGTACATGCCACAGTTTGTGCAGGTGATGGGAACATTTTGGTGTTGTTACATCTTGTGATGAATGAGGATACCAAGCAGGATTCTTATAGTGTTAGTTAAAGTGTGTGCAGGTCATGGGGAGACTGCTACCCTACTTCCTGCTTTTACTGTGTTTGTTTCTATTTCTCTGTTTTCTGTATGTATTGTGAAAGTATGTGTTAGTTAAGGCTGGGGGAGAGATTGTGAAATGGCTGGTAGCAAGGTAAATTTTTGAAAGGCGAACATTTGAATGTGAAGGGAAAAGGCATCCATTCCTCCAGAGAGAAGGTGACAGAATGAAAAAGCGGGCTGGGCTGAGCAACAGGTAGCCTCTGGAGCATATGTTAGTCATCCCTCTCTTAGAGACTCTAGGCAGGCAAACCATGTCCATCTTTACTGAATAAGGGTGAGGAAATGACAACATTTATATCTTTTCTTCCATGTCTGTGTTGTTTTAAGGATCATGTTGATCCACATAGAATCATAGAATTGGAAGAGACTTTGTGGGCCATCCAACCCCTGCCAAAGAGTAGGAAAATCGCATTCACTTCTTATCTCACTTCCTTAGAGTCCTTATCTGTCACACTGAGCAATGATTGTTTCTGTTCTTCTTCACAGTACATAACGGGGAGGAGAGCAATGTACACAGCGAACACAGGAAGCATTTGGGACACAACAGGGGCCAGCAAGCCCAGAGTGAAGATGAAGATTCTGCCGGAGAAAAGCCCTACGAATGCAATGTATATGGGCAATGTTTTGCCCAAGATGTGGCACTTGTGCTTCACAAGACATTCCAAGCTGGGGAAAGCCATTTTAAATGGAAAGTATCAGCAGAATGTGTGGTTGATTACAAATTGCCAGATCTGTGCCAACAAGAAATCTTTGAAGGAACCGAGCATTTCATAAGCCAGGAGTGTGAGAAACTACACAAATGCAAGGAATGTGGGCAATGTATTGTTCAAAGTTCATCTCTTGTGAGCCACCAGAGAATCCACACTGGAGAACACCCATATAGATGTCCAGATTGTGGGAAATGTTTTTCTTCCAGTTCAAGCTTGGTGAGGCACAAAAGAGTCCACACAGGAGAAAAGCCATACCAGTGCCAGGAGTGTGGGAAATGTTTTGCTGCCAATTCAGACTTGGTGAGCCATAAAAGGCTTCACACAGGAGAAAAGCCATACCAATGCCAGGAGTGTGGGAAATGTTTTGCTGACAGGTCAGCCTTGACAAAGCACAAAAGACTCCACACAGGAGAAAAACCATACCCATGCCAAGAGTGTGGGAAATGTTTTTCCTGCAGTTCACACTTGATGAGGCACAAAAGACTCCACACAGGAGAGAAGCCGTACCAATGCCAGGAGTGTGAGAAATGTTTTGTTTACAATTCACAATTGGTGAAGCACAAAAGACTGCACACCGGAGAGAAGCCATACCAATGCCAGGAGTGTGGGAAATTTTTTCCTGACAATTCAGCCTTAGTGAGCCACAAAAGGCTCCACACAGAAGAGAATCCGTACCAATGTCAGGAGTGTGGGAAATGTTTTGCTTCCAGTTCATGCTTGGTGAGGCACAAAAGACTTCACACAGGAGAGAAGCCATATCAGTGCCAGGAGTGTGGGAAATGCTTTGCTTACAGTTCAAACTTGGTGAGCCACACAAGAATTCACACAGGAGAGAAACCATACCAGTGCCAGGAGTGTGGGAAATGTTTTGCTGACAGTTCAGCCTTGGTGAGGCACAAAAGACTCCACACGGGCGAGAAGCCATACCAATGTCAGGAGTGTGGGAAAAGTTATCCTTGCAAGTCATATCTTCTCAGACACCAGAGCATCCACACAGGAGAGAATCCATTCCAATGCCAGGAGTGTGGGAAATGTTTCACTCAGAGTTCATCCCTTTTGAGCCACCAGAGAATTCATAGTGGAGAATAACCATCCAAAGAGGTGGGACAAAAGTAATACAATTACTTGCAATAGGGAAATTTCAGGTGGTGGACATTCTAGTGCTGTAGACTATACATTCAACATTTCTCAATTAACATATGTGACTTCCTTGGCTTTATGTAGCACTTGGCTTGACTTTGGACTGATTTCTTAGACAACTCTCTCCTTGGTTTCAAATGCTGCTCAGGGTTTTTGTTTTGCTTTATTTGACTTGGGACTGTTGTGGAGAACTCTTTTGCTTCTTGGCAGAATAGGGTTGGACTGGATGGCCCATGAGGTCTCTTCCAACTCTATGATTCTCTGGACACTGGTATCACCATGGGAGTAGACTGGCTTCCCCCTGGTCAGCCTTTATGGGTAGACATCTGATTTCAAACAGGACCATTTGCGAAGTTTGCCTAAGATTTGGTGGAGCCTCCGTTCTTGTCATATGAATCCCTAAATTAAGGTCCTGTTCTTGGAGCAGCAGAAAGCAACCTCCCTGTTACAATCCTTCAGTGGGTTAAAAATGAAGTCACCAATTCTGAAAAAAAAAAACCCATATGTAATTCCATCATTTGTTCCTCTTGGGCTTAGTTTCCAGCTCCTTTAGCACCTTGGTTGCAGATTTCTCATTTGCAAATGTTGTTTTTCAACTGTGATTCCAGAATAGAACACAGTGCTTCCGTAGAGGCAAAACGAAAAGAAAAGATGCTTGAACTGTTATTTCCCTTGATGTGCAAATCATATCTCTGGCTACAATTTACTGTCTGTTTCCCTGCTTATGGTATACACACTTTTAGTGCATATTAAATTAAAAAACATAAAGCTCTTTATTGTAGAATTAACCATGTGATTATCATTGATTTTGTTATAGACTATCGGAATGCGCTCTGTCTTGCAAAATTTTAGTCTCTGGATATTATACATGAAGGAGGTAAATTTGTCTGTGTAAAGCAGGCGCAGGCAAAATGTGGCCCTCCAGGTGTTTTTGAAGTTCAACTCCCACAATTCTTAACAGTCGGTAAGCTGGCTGGGATTCCTGGGAGTTGAAGTCCAAACACTTGAGGCCCTTCCACACAGCCCTACATCCCAGAATATCAAGGCAGAAAATCCCACATTATCTGTGTGTGGACTCAGATAACCCAGTTCAAAGCAGATATTGTGGGATTTTCTGCCTTGATATTCTGGGATATAGGGCTGTGTGGAAGGGCCCTTGGAGAGCCAACGCTTGCTGATATAGACTGAAAAAAACAACAACATTTATGTAATTAATACAAGCTTTCCAACTAATCCCTTCCAATGGCTTGAGAATATCTAATTACCGGTATATATGCGAATCTAAAGCATACCTCTTTAGGCTAAATGACCGTGCCAAAATTGGGGTATGCATTACATTAGTGTAATATATAGTGTGAGTGGGCAGGCACCTGCTCACAGAAGAGGCGGTGGGAGCATTATTTATCGTGTCAGGGGCAACCAGACGATTGTATTACATTTCTAACAACAAAAACAAACAAACAGAAACACAGAATTTGCAAGCTTGGTAGTTGATTAAATGTTCTTTGACCAGTAGCTGGCCACTTGGAGTGCCTCTGGTGTTGCTGCAAGAAGGTCCTCCATTGTGCATGTGGCAGGGCTCAGGTTGCATTGCAGCAGGTGGTCAGTGGTTTGCTCTTCTCCACACTCGCATGTCGTGGATTCCACTTTGTAGCCCCATTTCTTAAGGTTGGCTTTGCATCTCGTGGTGCCAGAGCGCAGTCTGTTCAGCGCCTTCCAAGTCGCCCAGTTTTCTGTGTGCCCAGGGGGAGTCTCTCATTTGGTATCAGCCATTGATTGAGGTTCTGGGTTTGAGCCTGCCACTTTTGGACTCTCGCTTGCTGGGGTGTTCCAGCGAGTGTCTCTGTAGATCTTAGAAAACTATTTCTTGATTTAAGTCGTTGACGTGCTGGCTGATACCCAAACAGGGGATGAGCTGGAGATGTCACTGCCTTGGTCCTTTCACTATTGGCTGCTACTTCCCGGCGGATGTCAGGTGGTGCAATACCGACTAAACAGTGTAATTTCTCCAGTGGTGTAGGGCATAGACACCCCGTGATAATGCGGCATGTCTCATTAAGAGCCACATCTACTGTTTTAGCGTGGTGAGATGTGTTCCACACTGGGCGTGCATACTCAGCAGCAGAGTAGAATAGCGCAAGGGCAGATGTCTTCACTGTGTCTGTGGGAGCATATGCCAGCCTGTTTGCCTGCCCCAAGATGCCTTGGCCTCCTCCGTTCCTGTGGCCCGTCCCCTTCACCTCTGCTCCTGGGCCCACCAGAGCCAAGGCCGCCTCCTACTGCTACTGGTGAGGCCTCCGTCTGCTGTACACACCTAGGAACTGAGCAAACTCTCTTGGACAACATTTCAGTGCTTTTCCTAGTAGCATGATATCAGGGGCACTGCTGTTGCTGGCAGAGGCGGCCCTAGGTAATTTTCAACGGTAAGCAAACAGTATTTTTCCCCCTCCCCCCAACCAATCACTGATATATATTTTCTGTTCGTCATGGGAGTTCTGTGTGCCATATTTGGTTCAATTCCATCATTGGTGGAGTTCAGAATGCTCTTTGATTTTAGGTGAACTATACATCCCAGTAACTACAACTCACATATGTCAAGGTCTATTTCCCCCCAAGAGAGCCTCAAGAGCGCCCTTGGGCAAAATCAACTATACTGCAAATGCTTATTTCGCGTAATGGGTTGAGCCACCCCTGGTTGCTGGGTATATTTTGTGGTGGTGCCTCCCGCTTTGCTTGTTTCACAGTGTGCAGGAATCAGTATTGCTATTTTCGATCCCCAACCAGGTAAATGGATTGAGGAGCAAAGGCAAAAGTTGGATATTGAGTGCGCCATCAAAGCCTCAAGCATGCCAAATGAATTTCGGGCTCTATATTTGTTTTAATTATCATTCTTAACAAGGTGGATGAAAATCTGCACTTCAATGAGTTACAGTCAGTTGTAACCATACAACTATGCATTGTTGCTCCCCCTCAGTGTTTTTGTCCCTAAAGTACACTTACCCCCGCCTGTATGAAGGTCTGTTTTCATGACCCTGTTTTTTATGAGCTTCTCCCTCACAAATAATCTGCTCCATTCCTATCTCACCTTGAGTTTTTAGTATTTTATCTTGTACATGCAGCCCACTCATTGTCACCCTGATTGTGAATGATTCTTCATTGTATTTTTATATTGCTTACTGTATTCTTATGTATTTTACTGTGCTGTTGTTTTGTGCTTTGGTTTTTATTTTATGGTAATGCGCTGTTGGCCTTGGCCTCATGTAAACCGCCCTGAGTCCCCATTGGGGAGATGGTGGCGGGGTATAAATGAAGATTATTATTATTATTATTATTATTATTATTATTATTATTATTATTCCACTATATTGGCCACTCCTTTGTAGTAGTCATGTGCAAGGCTGAAATGTGAAAACCAGTGACACCCTTTTAACCAAACTCTGAATGAATATTCCCTTGCTTTAGCGGAGTGCTGATTTGGAGAGCAACTATCGCGACAGATGATGTCTCAAAGGTCATGGGCAATGTCAAACTGCAATCCCCTGACAAAAGCCGACATGCCTTGCAAGGCGAAACAGTACATTTTTATAGAGAAAACAGAGCTGGCAAATTTGAATTTCCTGCTCCCGCCCCCCTTGCTGGCTTCACACTGATTGGATGGAGTCATCAGCTGGAGGAGAGGCATAGCTGGCTCAGGTGCGCCTCAGCCAATTGGTGAGCCAGTGCCGCTTTGGCCTTTTGGCCAATGGGAAGGAAGGAGGCGGTCCAGTCGGAAAACAATGAAAAGGTGAATGGATTAAGTGACCTAGTGTTTGTATAATCGCTGGCGATAACTTTGGCAGTTCTCAAGCTGGCTCCTTTTATTGTTTTGAGTGCTTGAAATATACGTCTTTGTCTGACCTGAAAGTCAGGCCCTTTGTAGTCCTTGGGTCTGGGATATGGTTCCATTGATAGTATCTGTTTGTGGTATCAGCTGGAGGAATGGAAACAAAGGAAGAGGCAGTGGGGACATCAAAATCCTCCATAGGCAGGATGTCCCCTACTGTGAGGAGTGATTGAATCTGCCATGGGGCACATCCTCCAGATGGGCTAACTTGGGTTACTCCGAGGACTGAGGGATAATGCCCATTGTCTTATTGTCCATTAAAGAGTTTCTGCTGAGTCCTTTTGTTTAGGGGCTTTTCTGGCCCATGAGCGGGAAAGGAAGTCTCCTGGGGGCCACGTGTGGCTGAGTTCACGAAAAGGTGACATTTCATATTTTATACAGACATATAAGGGGTTCAGAGGGTATATATTCATATAGAGGGGGAAAAGAAATCATACCAGCCCATCCCACCCACCAAAGTCCATTAAAAGTCTATAAATCATAGTGAGAGTTCATGAGGTTTGGAAAGAAAAAGTTCCCAAGAAGTCCAAAAAGTGTGCCAAAAGTAGGTATAAGTCCAGTAAAATCCTGCAAAATTCATGAAATTAAGGGGGGAGGTCTTTTTGAGTTCATTGGGTTCATCCTGGGATTATTACAAGCGCTGAGGGTCGGGGTCCATTCATTGGAGTGAAGAAAACTATAAATCACATCTTGTCAAGAGGCCAGGATGGCCTGTCTGCTTTCCGGGAGTCCCAAGGAGTGACCGCAGCAGGTTCCCCAGGTCAACAGGCTTCTTTGACATCAACGAGACAGCGGCAGCAACAATGTGGTAGCAAAGAGCCATGGATCACACTCAGCTGATCTCCACATGGAGTTTGGGGTAAAAACAGTTATACCCAGAGCGTAGCAGTCCAGAATGCAAAAGGCAAGATAGCAGTTAGTCTTAGAATTAGTCTAGGAAAGTTTGGGTATCAGCCAGCACATCAACGACTCAAATCAAGAAATAGTTTTCTTAGATCTACAGAGAACACCTCAGCAAGCGAGAGTCCAAAAGTGGCAGGCTCAAACCCAGCACCTCAATCCATGGGTGATACCAGATGAGAGACTCCCCCCTGGGCACACAGAAGACTGGGCGACTTGGAAGGCGCTGAACAGACTGCGCTCTGGCACCACGAGATGCGGAGCCAATCTTAAGAAATGGGGCTACAAAGTGGAATCCACATGCGAGTGTGGAGAAGAGCAAACCACTGACCACCTGCTGCAATGCACCCTGAGCCCTGCCACATGCACGATGGAGGACCTTCTTGCGGCAACACCAGAGGCACTCCAAGTGGCCAGATACTGGTCAAAGGACATTTAATCAGCTACCAAGTCTGCAAAATTTGTGGGTTTTTAATCTGTTTGTTTGTTTTGTTCTGTTAGAAATGTAATACAATGTTCTGGTTGGGAATGACACGATAAATAAAATAAATAGTCTAGGAGAAAAATGACACCGGTTTGGAAGCAATCCGTTGACCCGTGGATACAGGGGCCCAATGGGTTTCCGTATCCACGGTTCAGAGGAACGCAGTTTCGGCCTCCCCGGGAAGCTGGAAACATATCCTGGGCAAGCCAGCAGCTGTCTGCGGCTCAGGAAAGGGAATGTTCATGCTGGAGAGAGATAGAGGCAGTAAAGGACACAACGTATCACTATGGAGAGGAAAAAGTTACAATTTAAAGATACTTTATTGGGAGATTTGTTACAATGATAGGACAAGGGGAGGAAAGAAAAGCAAGGCAAAAGGAGATATTTCAGTTGAAGCCGCTGCTGTGGCCACTTTCCCAGCGATGCTGGCCCAGTTGGGCAACCAGGAACTGTGGAACTCCCTGCTGCAGGTCAGATCAGCTTAAAGGCAGGGGCTCTCTGCTGCTAGCTATCAGGAGGAGGGAACAGACTTGTTTTCTGCTGCTCTGGAAACAATGGAATAATGGCTTTGGTTCCAGGGCTTTGGAGAGATGCTCTTTCCCCCTCCTTCCAGTGTAATGCTGGGCAAGGAAGGGTTAAAGGGAGGGAGTGTGGTTCCCAGAGAGGCAGGGAGGAAGTGGCCTCCTTAGACCCACCTTTCTGTCCCTCTAGGAACCAAACTCGCTCCCCTTAATCCTTCTTTGCCTGATGGGAGAGGGGAGTTGGCTCCTTTGGCCTCTCCCTCCTCCTCCTCCTCTTCCTTTGTAGCCTGTCTCATTTCATCTTCTCCTTCTTCCTCTCCTTC